TTGGATTGGCTGCTGTGAAGCGCTCTGATTTGCTGAGAAAGTGAATGACGTGCCTACGTCATTTCCTCTCACCCCCGTGCTGCTTTGTGATTAGCAGATTCAGTCACGTGACCCGGAAATGAAAACTCGTTTTCATAGGGAATAAAATCTGCTTTTTAAAGCTGAAAAGCGCTTAAAGCTGTGTTCTGAAACGCTGTTTAAGTTCTTCAAGGTCTAATTGCTAAAATTTTGCCACGTTTGAGTGAAAAATCCGTTCAGAAATGTTGGTTTTAACCAAGTCTGGCCGATGCTAATTTTAAGCTAACAGCTAACGAACGGATGCAACAGGAAGTCATAGCGACTCCTACTGGATAACACTAACAGTGTCTGAGTTAAAATAAATTAAGGTTGTGCTGCCATCTTCTGGAGAGACTTGAGATCACAGGTTTTCACTTCGCTTTTAGGTATTTTGAGTGAAATTAAACGTTTTTTTTTTCTGTACGGCATTTTTGAGTTAATAAACGTTCCTCAAAGCTGGATAATCACTGTTATCTTGCATTTAAAAAGTAATTAAGGTATTTATACCAACAAACCTTTTATTCACTGGTAATTCCTCATTGAGAAGGTACACAATAAACGGTAGAAACTTTTTAGAAAAAAAGGTACAGTTCAGATATTCACAGAGTTGATAGAGTTTGCTCATTTGCTAAGAGATAATGCACGTTTAATTGTTAAATCACTAAATAAGAGTAAATATATCAGTAGAGAGAAACTCTTCTGATTTTATTTTACCACCTAAACAATTACATCTCCTATTTAATTTCTAAATAGCAGATAATGGCGGAAGAAGATGTAAACACTGACCCCTTGCAATCCAGAGATGCCGTCCAGACGGCTTTATATATTTTAACAAATTCAATTATTGGTACTCAATTAGGGCAATTAGAAGACCTTGATGACAATCAAAGAGATGAGGAACTGCAGAGGTTGGCAAAAGCAGCTAAAGTGTCAGAGGACACAAAATCGAGCCGTGAACGGTTGGCAAAAATTTCCCTGCTTCTCAAAGCGGAATTGGACCATCAGGTTGCACAAAATGTCATGCTATTCAGTGGATATGAATCTGAAAAGGAGAGGTGTGACATATTGATGAATGAATCTGAATTGCAGAAAAAACAATTTCAGATTGAGAGGGACCTCTCGAAGACTGAGCTGTCAGTACAGGCTCATTCATATGAGGGGAGGATTAAGAATAAAGAACGTGCGTATCAAGACGCGTGTTCAGACAACGATGTGCTACAACAACAGTTGCAGATCGCATTAAAGGAGCTGGAGGTTTGCAAAGCGGAAAAGGCGATGATACTCCAACAATGTCTGAATTTACAAAGTGAATGTCAGACATCACAGGAGCGCCTGACAGCTTGTGAGGAGAATCTAGCTACAGCTACAAACCAGATTTCTGATATGGGGCGAGCTGGTCTGAGACTCAGAGACGAACAAGGTCAGGGCCCGGGTCAGCCACAACCACCCCAGACAGAGGCTGTTACACCTCCTCCCCTTAGCCCCGTTCCAACACCCCCACCTCGGGTGATAAGGACGGGTCTGCACCGATATGCACCTCCTCCTCCTAACACCATGCCGTCACCCCCACCCCTATCTCGGGTGGTGGGGATAGACCTGCACCGATATGCACCTCTTCCTCCTAACACCATGCCGTCACCCCCACCCCCATCTCGGGTGGTAGGGATAGACCTTCACCAATTTGCACCACCAACCACACGAGAGAGACCGTTGACACTGTCTCCTTCAATGGATGATTTGCAAAGAATCTCAAAATATGTACAACGCTTTGTACCTGGACCGATGGGGTCATCTGGAACAAAAGCGTATCTCAGAGATCTAGAGTTCAGATTGAGAGGTTATCCTAATGCTACGGTGGAGGATAAAATCAGTCTGATACGGCTCACGTCGGACAGAGAGGTGTTCACCTTTATCGAGCGTCTACCTGATGCAACGAGGGGGGATTACAACCTTCTGTGTGAAGCTTTGATCAGAGAGTACGACTCCTGCACGGGACCTGCTGGTTTCCCAGCTGCAGACAAGGTCACGCAGGGCAAAACTGAACATCCAAAAGTTTATTACAAAAGAATCTTCCAAGCTTATTTTGGTAACAGAAATGAAACCGGAATGGAAGAAGATGAAGGTTTTAAGTTTGTTTTCAGCAAAAATCTCCACACTGATTTTAGACAATCAGTACAAATGATGGCAAATTTCAGAGAAAAATCCATCAGTGAGATTAGACAGTGTGCTGTGAATGTGTTTGAAGCATGTTCTCGTGCTAAGACGCCCATAGAAGTGTTTCCTAGTGTAAAGGTTAAACCCCTCCCTCTTGAACTAGAAGGACGGCGTGCTTCGCCACCTCCTCCTAAGAAAGTTGAGAGAAAACAGTCTGTTCAAACTAACAAACCGCGTCCTGAAGGTGCACGCTGGGACAAAAAAGCTCCTCCTTCGGAGGACGAACGTGATTATCGAAAAAGGGGTGAGCGTAGGACGCAACGATATGGGAAACCATATCATCAGGGGCAGTACGTAAAAGAACCCCCGAAAGACGTACCTGACCGTCCCCCACCTCGGACGAAACGAACCGAGGCGAAAAAATCACAAAAGTTCCAGAAACAAGGCCCTACACCTCTGAGCTCGGAAGAGACAGAGAAAATACGCAGGTTGTTAGAAACCTTGAAACACACTGACACAGGAACCCAACCAGGAGCACTGTGCAGTAATGTAATCCCTATTACATCCCTGGGCGCGAATGACAACATTACAGATGTCGGTGGGACACACCAAGACATTGCTGTTGTTGCCTCAAACAACCCCTCATCAGAAGAAGGGGGGTAAACACACACACAAACGATGACGAGTCATCGCAAGCTGAACACTCAGAAACAGCTTCTGCTGTGCTGACGGTTCAGACAAACCAAGATTACACAGATAAGGCTGAACGCGTGAAAAAGCGTCAGAAAAAACCCAAGAGGTTTCTGTGTAACTTTATCAGAAAGGGGGTCGCCAAAAAGGCGTACCTGTCAGTAACACTCGAAGGTGTCCTCACACACGAAGCACTCTTGGACGGTGGGGCAGACATAACAATTATGTCAGCTAAACTGTTCGAGGAGCTGAGGACAGCCGCTGCCAGTGTTAACAGGATAATACCTCTCTCTGAATGTGCTATAGAAATGCAGGGTCTCTCAGAGGTGAAAACAACCCTGACAGCTATAGCAATGGTTCACATGCAGATTGGCAAAATGACACTGTACCACCCGGTACACGTGTCTCGTGTTGACTCATTCCCATTTTTGGTTGGCCAGGATTTTATAAATCGCTTCGACCCGATTATAGATTATGGTGATCAAACAATGTGGACAACAGTGAGCAAACCACTGCCAATAGATACGCCTCCGGAGTGTGACACAGACTGCCCAACAGCAGGTACCGCGGAAGGCGCAAAGGACTCCTCAGCCGAGGACACGAGCCCGGTGAGTACTCCTCTGACATCATGTGAAACCAAAGAGACCCACCCAGTGGTCCAAACTCTGACCCAACAAGACAGCCTCCTCTGTGAGCTGGAGCAGTCAGAGTCCACCAAACACTACCTACCACTGGTAGTTAAGGGTGTAGAGATCCAAGGGTCCCACACCAACGATGCTGTTCTGTCTCTGTGGACAGATAAATCAGCAATTACCCGAGCTTTCTATGAAACCCTGGTTCACAAACACGTTGGTCTAGAACTAATTAAAAAAGCTTTCCGC